CCGTTTGCGGTGAGGTACGCGGCGCATCAGCTCAACCTTCACCCCCGGGTCTCTCGGCCTGCGATGTCCCCAGCCTTGCTGTGGACAGGGAAGGTTGGCGATGCGTCTGTGTTCCGTGTCTGGGGATCTCGGGCGTTTGTCCGCGACTTGTCTGCGGACAAGCTGTCCCCTCGTGCTGCTCCCTGTGTCTTCCTTGGCTTCCCCACTGACGCCCCAGGGTGGCAGTTTTACCACCCCTCCTCTCGTCGTGTTCTGTCCTCCCAGGACGTCACGTTCGACGAGTCAGTCCCCTTCTACCGTCTCTTCCCCTACCGCACTCCTTCCCTCCCCCCTCCCCCGGACTTCCTTGTACCGGTTCCCCCCCCGGTAGACCCCCTCCCCCCTCAGGTTCCTGCCCCCTCAGGTGTGTCCCAGGTAGACGCCGTTGACCCGGTCGAGGTTACAGGTGACTCTGGTGCTGCTGCGGGTGCTGAGCCTGGGGGTGCTGACTCTGGGGGTGCTGTGCGCGGGGGTGCTGAGCCTGGGGGTGCTACTGCTGGGGTTACTGGGCCTGCGGGTGCTACTGCGGAGGGTGCGGAGCCTGGGGGTGCTGAGCCGGGGGGTGCTCTGCCTGGAGGTGATGGGTCTGGGGGTGCTGGGTCGGGAGCTGCTGAGCCTGGGGGTGCTGCGTCTGGAGTTGCTGAGCCTGGGGTTTCTCCTGCTGCTGCGTCTCGCCGGGAGCCCCTCTCTCCACAGGAGCTGCGCGAGTGGTTCGCTCGCCGCTGGAGGCGTGCTGCTGAGTCTGGAGGTGCTGCTGGAGCTGGAGCTGGAGCTTCTTCGACCGTCGAGGGTGCGGGTGCTGCCGGTCCCGGAGCTGCTGGACCTGCGGGTCCTCCTGGAGCTGGAGCTGCTGAGGGCGTTGGTGCTGAGCCTACTGCTGTTGGTCCTGCCGCTGGAGGTGTGGGTGGCGCTGGTGCTGTCCCTGAGGGTGCTGGTGCTGTCCCTGCTGAGTCTGGAGCTGCCGCGCGGCCTCGGCCGTACTTTGTTCCGCTCCTACAGCAGGTTCTTGGTCTTTCTCCTTCGGTAGATTCTCCACAGCCTGTCCAGTCGCAGTCACTGTTGGAGCCTTCCTCTCCTCTGCCTGCTCCCTCTCCTTACACTGGTCCTACTGGAGGTCTTGCTGAGCGTCGTGAGCCTGCGTCTCGTCCCGCGTCGCCTGTTCGTGCTGCTCGCGCTAGTGGTCGCGGTTCGCGTCAGCGTCCTCCTCCTGTCCCTGGCACGCACCGGATGTCTCTGCGTCCGTCCACTGCTCCTCTGCGTGCCCCTTTGCCTTCTCCTCCTGAGTCCTCTCTTCCTGCGCTTGCCGACCCTGAGTCGGACTCTCTTCGCGCTGCCAGTCCTACTGTCACGCGTCTGCTTGCTACTGTCGTCACTGACCCCTCTTTTGAGTCCACTGCTGCGTCTACTCTAGTCGCTGAGCTCGTTGACTTTGCTGCTCGCTGTCGTCTCGACTACGCTGCTAGTCTTGTTGCTGAGTCTGCGTCTGTCTGTCCTCCGTCCGTCGGGGGTGAGTGTGCTCTTGGCACGGACGTCCTAGAGGACAGACAGGAGGAGTTACAGTGTCTAGCGGCTGCTTCACCTCATCTCGCGTCTGTACTGCTTGCCCCTGAGGGAGACCCGGATGCACTAGACATCCCGACTCCGCGTTCTTACGCGGAGGCCGTAGAGGGTCCCTACTCCTCTCAGTGGCAGGCAGCTATGGATGCAGAGATGGCTTCCTGGAAGTCCACAGGCACCTACGTTGACGCAGTTCCCCCTCCTGTGGCGAACATCGTCAGTGGCATGTGGATCTTCCGGGTGAAGCGGCCGCCGGGCTCTCCACCTGTCTTCAAGGCGCGGTACGTTGCTCGTGGCTTCAGTCAGCGGCAGGGAGTTGACTACTTTCAGACCTTCTCTCCCACCCCGAAGATGACCACTCTTCGGGTGCTACTGCACATAGCCGCTCAGCGCGACTACGAGCTTCACTCTCTCGACTTCAGCACTGCGTTCCTGCAGGGTAGCCTGCACGAGGAGATCTGGCTGCGCCGTCCACCTGGCTTCACTGGGACTTTCCCTCCTGGCACCCAGTGGAGCCTCCGACAGCCAGTCTACGGTCTCCGCCAGGCACCGCGTGAGTGGCACGACACACTGAGGACTACGCTTGCGGCTCTTGGGTTTGCTCCTTCTACTGCTGACCCGTCGCTGTTTCTGCGCACCGACACTTCACTGCCGCCGTTCTACATCCTCGTGTACGTCGACGACTTGGTCTTTGCCACAGCGGACACTGCTGGACTCGCCTACGTGAAGTCCGAACTGCTGAAGAGACACACGTGCACAGACCTGGGTGAACTGCGCAGCTACCTTGGCTTGCAGATCACTCGGGACAGAGCACGCCGCACCATTACCTTGACTCAGTCACACATGGTGCAGCAGGTCCTTCAGCGCTTCGGCTTCACGTACTCCTCGCCTCAGGCCACTCCTCTGCCTACTCGCCACTCACTCTCAGCTCTGCCTTCGGATGAGTCCGTAGAGTCGAGTGGTCCGTATGCAGAGCTTGTTGGCTGCCTCATGTACCTGATGACCTGCACACGACCTGACCTTGCATATCCTCTGAGCATTCTTGCACGCTATGTTGCTCCTGGGAGACACAGACCAGAGCACATGGCTGCAGCGAAGAGGGTATTGCGCTACCTGTGCAGTACGTCGGGCATGGGGCTTGTGCTTGGAGGGCGGAGTCCAGTGGTCCTTACCGGCCACGCGGACGCTTCTTGGGCTGACGACCAGGCTACGCAGCGGTCGTCACAGGGTTACACCTTCAGCCTTGGTTCCGGCTCTGTCTCGTGGCGGTCTACTCGCTCGTCTTCGGTTCTCGGCTCCAGTTGTGAGGCTGAGATCTACGCCGGGGCCATGGCTGCACAGGAGCTTCGCTGGCTCACCTACCTGCTGACTGACCTTGGAGAGCCGCCTCGTTCTCCTCCAGTGCTGTACGTAGACAACAAGGCCATGCTGGCCTTGTGTCGAGAGCAGCGCTTGGAGCACAGAACGAAGCACATTGCTCTCCGCTACTTCCTTGCTCGTGAGCTGCAGCAGCGTGGTCAGTTGCGACTTGCGTACGTGGCCTCTGAGGCCAACACTGCTGATGTGTTCACCAAGGCACTCGCGCCTTGTGATCATCAGCGCTTTTGCACCCAGCTGGGTCTTGTGTCTGTCTTGCCTCACTTGCTCTCCTCTTGACTTTACTTGTACTGTGACATATATATATACCTGCTCTTGCTTGTCTAGTTTTATATATATGTCTGTACTCCTGCATGTGAACTGGCCTCTGGCCCTGCTCTTGTGCTCGGACTGTGTGGTGACTTTGTGATCCACCCTGAGCTTGCTTTGCTTTGCTTGACTGGTCTTGTGACCCCTTGTTCTCCCCCACTTTGCCTATGGGGGTGTGTCAAACATTATATATGTTATGCTTGTGTAGGCTACAGTGGGTTAGCCTATAGGGGGTACACAATTCTAGGGTTTACTACTTGTACTCATTTCACTTCTAGTTCACACATTCCTGTTCGCTTATTCTCACACAGTAGCCTTGAGATTATCAGGAGATAGGAATAACCAATCACGTCTTCGATGGAGGTATAGTTGTTGAGCGCGCTGGTCTGATGACAGGGAATCAGACAATGAAGCCTTGAGAATGGCTGACTGAAAGAAACCTGACAGCAGATCCCGAGAATCACTTGATACGATGTTCGCCTGATGAACATAATAAGTGTACCAATCGATTCGTCGTGATAAGGCGAGTAACAAGTTGTGTTTCTCAAAGCCAACTGGTAACTCTGCTTCACGGAATGCCGGGTAGAATACCCTGTAGGAATCCATGGCGGAAAAAATCCCTGTAGGAATCTTAGCTCCCGTTGTTTGTAGCACCTGTTTACGTCGCGTCGAGGAAGCGAAATTATCATTTTTGTGAAATAATGAGCTATATACAAGCAGGATTTGCATGAGCAGAAGTTGGTGTATCAATTCCCATATTCACGGGCTTCACTATCAGCAGCCCCACTAATTCCTGAGCTGGCTACGATGCCAGGTGCAGACGAACAAGGACGTGGTTCTGACTTGGCAGTGAGTCCAGCACCGTGACGTGTATGACATACGGTTTTTCCTTGAGGCTTCATTTCTGCCAGCTCCTCATCCCGAGGGAAAGTGGTGCGAGGTGGAGCGTGCGAAAACTAAATCGCGTTTCGCCACCGTTTGGGCTCAGCAACATCAGCCATGAGAATGGGCACAATGGGCACCTTGTAACCAGCCATGGCGACATAGGCCTCGTGCCATAAGAGCCAGACCGCCTTAGTAGTTTACTTTCGACTTGTCCTTGCTGAGTCATGTATGATAGAATCAGTGTGGCTGTAGGCATTCCGCACGTGTGGTTGCCTTGAAATGTGACCGTGGTTTAGACTGACAATCACGACGGATACTCTATTTTTTCTCCAGCTCCTCGCAAGTGCACGGGAAATTGTCGTATCATTACTAAACGACGGCTGCGTGCCGCAGGAGCGCTGGGAGTTGAGCATTCAAAGCAGCAATTTAGGGTATCGTCTGTGATAAAGTCGAGTCGGCGTCAAAGCCCTGAGGTCACTAGCAATTGTAATTCCCCTTCCAGGATCAGCAGTTCCACTTCGTCGGATAATTTCCTCGGATTCTCATGGCTCTCGTGAGGGAGAACGACCAGCTGGACAAGTTTGTGACGTTTCTCGCCAAACGCGACGGCATCGACAAGCTGGTGAAGACATTTCAGTATGTCTTCAAGCTCGCTCACTGGCAGCTCCTGAGAACCAATAAAGGTGAGCATTGACATCGCTTCAGTGACATGTGCTCCAGCGTCCGCTTCTTTCTTTCGACTGGAGATTCCCTGGCGCGTGATATGCTAGGGTGTGTCCACTATCACGTTAACCATTCGCTTGCCACCTGTAATTATGCTTGGTTTCACGCAGATTTGGCTGACCGAGCTCAGAAATTCGAAATCGGCTGTGGGCTCAGCCGCAAGGCATTCCGACTGGGTCGTTTCTTGACCGGTTTCAACAACCTCCGGACAACCCAATACTCCGACTGGAAGGTGCGTCATAGACAGGCTGTTCGTTTGAGTTGCGCCGTTTGCTGCTTCACATGCATCAATGTGATGGTCGGCTCTTGTTGAGTGGACCTTCTGATGGTTTTTCGTGCTCAGCGGTGGTCTGGAATTTGATCTTTTTATATTCATTCCTCTTCTGCCCTCAATCTCTCTACTTTCAGGTGACAACGCTCTCCGTGGTCGGCAGTGCTGGTGAAATGGTTTACTTCTTCTTTGATCACCTCACATGGATGTCCAAAGTCGGCCTGCTTGAGCCAAAACTAGCCGGTAATTCCTCGATTATCATATGTTTCAGGTTATAGCATCTTCGTGGTGTGGTCTGGTGTGGTCCGGTGTTGTAGTGTGTGCAAATCTTCTGTCCATTTTGTGCTGGCTATTCATCAACCTATATGCCTGCTTGCCCCCGAATTCATTCGCCTTTCCCCTCGTTCCTCCTTCCGCCATGCAGCCAAGACAGCATACATATCAGCCTATGGCGAGACCGTTCTCTACCTGTGTTTCATCTCCCTGGACATCATCATGATCAAGAGGGGGATGGAGCAGGAGAAGCAGCTTCAGGCGAAGCTCAAGGAGCTGCACCAGCGAGCAGAGACCCTTGCCCTCACAGCAAAGAACAGCCCGCGGCATGGAAAGAGCAGCGGCGGTGATGATGGCACTGACAGCAGCTTGTGTGCTTTCAGTAATGATGCATCCCGCCGTAGCAGCTTCGAGAGTCATGACTGTGGGAAGAGCAACAGCAGCCAGGGAAGCGAAGGTGAGAATGGTTGGTTGGCTGCTGCTGCACCAGAGGGGAAGGCAGCTTCGGCAGATGTACCAGAGGTGAAGGCCGCTCCTGCTGCTGCTGGAAGTCACAACTTGCCGCTGCTGTGCACGTGCAAAGAGGCATACATTGAGGAATTAAGAAGGCTGGAAGGAGAGGCAATGAAGATTAAGATTGCCCTGAGCTCCATCAGAATGGAGAGGCTTATGCGTGTCCTGAGCATTGCTGGGCAGTTTGGAGATCTCTTAATTTCCGTAGCTCAAGTGGAGCCTAATCCAGTGTGCTGCCACCCGCTTACACTCGGCTTGAGCGGATTGCTGTCAGCATGGACTGGCTGGTACCGTTTGTGGCCCGCCAAGTAGGCTTCTTATATAATATGCTGTTGATAGTTATGGCGAATGTTACAGAGTGTGTGTGCTGCTGGCGGTCGTCAAGCATTCTGTTGCTGTAAAAGTGTGTTTTATTTTGTCAAAGCAGAGGTTCGGTGGGAATGCCTAATCTAGCTGCTTGCATTCGTTCAATCGTGCATGGACATTCCGCTTTTGCCGAAGATGGCACAATCACGGATAAAGCCTTCCCCGTCCCCCAACCACCACCCCTGCGTGCTGCTGGTGCAACGTGGCTGTCACGAAAAAGGTGGTGTCACCGACAGCGAAATCGAAACAGAGTGCAAACCTTCCCCATTCACGTCGTGGCGAAAACAACCGACAATTCGCAGTCCGGTTTGCGGGTTCCGACATTCGGTCGCACCAGAATGTGTTCTTGTAGCGACCACGTCGAGCTCCCTGTCGCGATGAAATCGAGGGAAGAATCAAAACAACCGACATGTCATGGGGTAGTTGCGTTGGTTGGAGTGCAAAAACATTCCAACAGTTAATCCTCCAACAGTCACAGTAACCATTGTCCGTCCATGGCGGATGGCGTGGTCCCAATTTAGCTTGGCAGGATCCCGTCCCGTCCCAGCCTGTGCAGCAAATTGAGCTGGATGCAGCTCACCTCCACAACCGCTGCATTACACCATCCATGGATAAAAGCCGCCATAGTTAGCCTTTTACCCGGAGTCTGCGCTCGCGTTGCTATCAGTTTACTCGTTAGAAATTGGCCTCTCGATTGATCAGAAAGCCGTGCAATCGTGTGGCGAAAAAAAATCTCAATCCATGATTACGTGTCCAAAGCAGCTGTCTTGTATACCCAGACAGCAGCGATTCGTACACTCCTGCCAATTCGCCTGACGTGGTCGAGTTGACTCAGAGAGAATGAGGCTTGTAAGTCGCGGCATGTCCCAGTAACGACTCGTGGTCTCTCGGGGAGGAAAAACGACTCTATGGTTTCTTCATGGGGAAGAAGATATCGTTCTTCGGACAGCCTCCGAACCTAAGACGGGCCTCAAGATGGTAGTACCCGTCTCCTTCCTCACAATCTGATTCGATTCCTCGCTGGAGGAACACATTCATTGTGGCGCCTCAAAAGTCCTCACTCTCAATTCGATTCGATTCCTCGCTGGTGATCACACTGTGATGGCACAGTGTGGCAAGCTTCATAGTATGAGCCACTTTCCAGCGGCTGGTCACAAACTGGCTCGATTTGCTCTCCCGCCCCCCCTCTCTCCCCCTCTCTCCCCACCTTCCCACCCCACTCCGCTACCCGTCTGCTTCGCGTGGGACGATGCGGCCTGCTACCTCTTGCCCGCACCCCTGCATTTGTTTATTCTCCTTATCCCACGCGCCCAACTTTCCTTCCCCAGCTCTCACAGGGCTTTCCCTGTCCACCTACCCTCCACCCACGCCCTCTACAATCCTTCCTTATCTTTCATACCCCTCTGATCACCAGCTTCCACACCCATCTCTCTGTTACAATCTCACCTCACTTCATTTTTTAATTAGCAGAGAAATCACAACATTACCTCTGCTTTCTTGAGGCTCCCGTCAACTCCCTCCCTCTCCTTAGTTTCCGCACATAACCTTCGCTCACCCTTTCCTCCATCCCATCACAGCCTGACTTTTGCAGTCGCTGCTCTCGTCATCGCCTCCTGTGCTACCATTGTGGCTGTCGCTTCTATAGATCGACTTCCTCTCCTTGTTTTCTTTACCTAACCCTCCCCGCACCCTTCTCCTGCCCCGCACTCCATCACAGGCTGACTTTTACAATCGCAACTCTCGTCATCGCCTCCTCTGCTATCATAGTGGCTGTCACTTCTATCGACTCTCTCTCCTTGTTTTCTTTACGTAACCCGCCCCGCACCCTTCTCCCGCCCCGCACTCCATCGCAGGCTGACTTTTACAATCGCGGCTCTCGTCATCGCCTCCTCCTCTGCTACCATTGGGCTTCCACTGACCCCCTCGCAACACGCCAATGCCAACCCGACTGCTTTCACCGACAGCTCAAGAGATCTTGAGTCGAGAACTCTCTATCCGGACCCCTCCAAACCGAGCTTTACCCACCAGAACTCAAAGAACGGAGAGACGAGGAACGACGGCCCAACTGATCCATGGCTGGAGAGCCTCTGCTTGGGAACTCAAAACAAGAACTGTGACCCTGATCCACGGCTTTTGAGTCGACTCAAAAGCAACTGTGACCCTGATCCACGGGGACAAGAGAGAGGACAAGAGACGGGACAAGCGACGGGACAAGCAACAAGCTCACGATTGGGAAGGGCTCATGAGTGGAGTGGCAGTAGAAGCCGTTTCAGAAACGTGCATGGGAAGTCCTCTGGGCTGCAGGACAGGAAGATGAGGAAGACACGTGCATGGGTGAAGCCCATAGCTGATGAACCCCAGTCCGAGATAGAAGCTATCTGGGCCTTTCATGCTGCCCATAATCTCGCATTCAGCAGGCTGCACCACCCAAGGCGGTCGCCACAGGCTTCGAGTCCCGTTTTGAGTCCGAGTTCCGTTCCTGGGCCAAGATGCGAGGGGCAGTGCTGCTCCAATGCTGCTCCCGTCATCCCACGTGGCACCCCCAAGATGACGTCCACGTGGATCAGCAGCCAGCTGGCGCACGGGGCTAGGGTGAGTGTAGGGAGTCTAGAAAGGTAAGGGGGAAGGAGAGGGGGTGGGGGGAGTGGGGGGGTGGTCATGCATTGGTACGAGTGTGAGTGAGTGAGTGGGTATGGGTGTGGATATGGGGTTGTATGATCCCAGGATGACGTCCACGTGGATCAGTAGCCAGCTGGCATGGCACACGGGGCTATCTTGAGCTGGAAGGGGGTCTAGAAGGGGGGGGAAGAGGGGGAAAGGAGGTTACTATGGGGAAGTTATTTATACATGGGTACGAACGAGTGTGGGTGGGCATGGGTGTGATGTGACTATGGGGGGGCATGATCCCAAAATGATGTTGACGTGGCTCAGCAGCCAGCTGGCACACAGTGGGAGGGTGGGTGAAGAAGAATCAATTTAGGGGTGGAATGGAATGGAAGCCGACAAATCTTTTTATCGACTCAAAAATCAGCAAATCTCCTTCACTCTTCACCACTTTACGTAAAAATGAAACCCCTTGCTTCCCCTGCTGCAGGTGATGATACGATCCAAGCGGTGGGGTACCTTCTGGACCGCAGTGAATGGGGCGAAGTGGGAGGGGCGGATTGCAGGCCGAGTCACCGCCATGCCAGAGCCGTCCCAAGCGCTCACTGTGATCAGAGTCTCCAACACACAGGTAGAGCCCGGTTCTTATGAAGTGCTTGTTCTCCTTTTAAGAACTCTCCCACGTATCACTGCCATGCCGGAGCCGTCCCAGGCGCTCACTGTGATCAGAGTCTCCAACACAGAGGTAGGGCCGGGTTGTTGCAATCGCCCCAAGGGCACACAAGGGGCGAAAGCACATAGGGCGAAGTGGGTGGGAGGGGCGCATTGCAGGTCGGGTCACCGCCATGCCGGAGCCGTCCCAGGCGCTCACTGTGATCAGATCATCAGAGTATAGCTCCAACACACAGGTACGCACGCACAGGCTGGGGGTTTCAGAGAGTGTGGACCCTTAAGTACCTGGGTGAAAGCAGCAGCTGGAGCCTTATGGGAGGGGATCCGTGCATTACAGGCCGGGCCACCGCCATTCGATAAAAGTGTTGCTTTGAGACGTCTCAAAACAACACTTTTATCCCGTGCATTACAGGCCGGGCCACCGCCATGCGATGAAGTGTTGTTTTGAGACGTCTCAAAACAACACTTTTATCCCGTGCATCATAGGCCGGACCACCGCCATGCTAGAGCCGTCGCAAGCGCTCACTGTCATGTCATCAGAGTCTTGAACACATAATTGAGTTCCCTTGTCATCTTTAGAGTCTACCTGACCAGGGACGCGTTCGGCTACCTGACCCTGGTTTTGAGTCGACTCAAAACCGCGTGTAATGAGTCTGCTTTCGAGTCGACTCAAAACCGCGTGTAATGAGCTTGCTTTTGAGTCGACTCAAAACCGCGTGTAATGAGGGTGCGTTCCTGGTTCGTGGCAGGGCCACTGTAGCAGGCACTGTTGGTGGCATGCGGGAAAACCGCATGCCACCAACATTTTGCCCGAGTCGCGCGCGACACGATTTTGGTGGAATTGACATGACATTTTTGGGACATTGCCCAATCACGCACCTGTATTTGCGCGCCAAAATTCCTGACACCAACCTGGCGTTTTATGTGTTCGTGGCAGGCTGCCATCTACAGTGGCCCTGCCACGAACCAGGAACGCACCCTGAGTCTGCTTTTGAGTCGACTCAAAAGCAGAGCCGTCACAAGCGCTCACTGTCATCAGGGTCTTGAACACATCATTGAGTTCCCTTGTCATCTTTAGAGTCTACTTGACCAGGGGCGCGTCCGGCTACCTCAGAACAACCCGAAACGCATCCAACCCGTGGGCCGTTTTCACCATCAAATACATCCCGGGAACGGCCCACGTCGCGTTTCGCTCCTCCGATGGGTTCTTCGTCTCCCATGACGGCAAGAAGAACAACCCGCGGTTCTGGTCCGGTTGAACCCCTTTGCGGCGCCTCAGAAGTTGCCTACGTCGTGTTCCGCTCCTCCGACGGGTATTTCGTCTCCCAAGACGGCAAGAACAACCCGCAGTTCAAGTGGAAGGTGCGGGCGAGTGGGAGTGGTATGATGTGATGTGCAGGAGGTGATGGAGGTGCCGACCAGACCATCTTCCATTTTGTTTCATCCCCCTTCGCTATGTGAAATTTACTTTCGAGAATTTATAGAAGTAAAATTCACAGAGCGGTATGATGTGATGCGCAGGAGGTGATGGAGGTGATGGAGGTGCCGACCAGACCACCTTCCATTTTGTTTCATCCCCCTTCGCCCATCCCAACCAGATCAAGTTTCTGACCCCCAGCAACACGTATCTAGCCAAGGCCAAGGGCGCGTTCGGCTACCTCAGAACGACCCGAAACACGTCCAACCCGCGCACCGTCTTCACCATAAAATACATCCCGAGAACAGCCTACGTCGCGTTCCGGTCCTCCGACGGGTATTTTGTCACTCAGGACGGCAAGAGCAACCCGCAGTTCCGGTGGAAGCGCGCGGGCGACTGGGAGCGGTATGACGTGCGGGAGGTGATGGAGGTGCCGGCGATCCGAGGGGCGAATCTGGGGTCGTGGCTCATGACTGAACCGTGGATGAACCGCGACGTGTTCAAGTTTGCTGGCTATGGTGATGGCACTCGGGTGAGTGCGGGATAAAGGGGAGAAAGGGGGAAACGGGGGAAGGAAGGACAAATCTGGGGTCGTGGCTCATGACTGAGCCGTGGATGAACCGCGATGTGTTCAAGTTTGCTGGCTACGGTGACGGCACGCGGGTGAGTGGACAGGGGGAGGGGGAGGAGTAGATGGGGAGGAGAATGTGTGAGGTGTGACTGTGTCATCTTATAATACGTTGTATGGTGCAATCTAGGGAGAATTTAGAAGTCCTTCTGACATATTGACAGTCTCACTTCACTTGTTTCATTCTAGGTATGAAGTCCATAGCTATGTGCATGGCTTTGTTAATTTTGTCTGGGGGGCTTTTCCTGATTTTTTCTTCTTTTGTGTTCATTTATGTTTTCTGGCTTCTGTCTTCTGTCGTTGCAGTTCACCTTGCGATCAGTGGTAACGGGAAAATACGTCACTGCACCTGGTGGGGGTGGCACAATCGTAAGTGCACTGCACTGCACCGCATCACACCACACCAGATGAGGTACTGCGATTCGCTCACCAAGCACACCCACCTCCACCTCACCTCCATTCTCTGGTGTTTCATTCTTGCGCTTTTCCCTATTGCACGCCCTCTCGCCTCTCACTTCTGGCCTCTCACCCCTCTCTCCTCAAGCAAATGAGGTGCAACATTTCGCTCACCATGCACACCCGCCTCCACCTCACCACCGTTCTTTGGTGTTTCATTGTTGCGCTTTTCCCTATTGCACGCCCTCTCGCCTCTCACTTCTGGCCTCTCACCCCTCTCTCCTCAAGCAAATGAGGTGCAACGATTCGCTCACCATGCACACCCGCCTCCACCTCACCACCGTTCTTTGGTGTTTCATTGTTGCGCTTTCCCCAGGTGCACGCCCTCTCGCATCTCATCTCTCTCCTCTCGCCTCTCACCTCTCTCCTCTCGCCTCTCACCTCTCTCCTCTCGCCTCTCACCTCTCTCCTCTCGCCTCTCACCTCTCCCGTCTAGCAGATGAGGTGCAACGACTCACTTACTAGCAAGGACACCTACCTACCTACACCTCACCACCGTTGAGAATGCCAACACTCGTGCACCAACCCATGCGCTCTTTTCCCGTGCACCCTCATTGTTGTGTTGTGAGCGAGCAGATGAGGTGCAACGACTCAATCACAACCAAGGACACCTACCTCCACCTCACCACTGTTGAAAATGCTTCCCCCAACACTCGCAGAGTAAGGCACTGCCGTCTCGTCTCCCTGTAGGTTCTGGCTGGTCAAATCTCCCGTGTTGAACTGAAAAACAATTATTCAACAAGGTTATGTCATGTTATATTCATATAACCTGCTACCCGGTTTGCTCTTCTCTCTGCACTTGGCTCATCATATATCTCTGCACTGGCTGCAGTACTGCGTCGTGACCTTTTGAGAATTCTCAAAAAACGTTCTGCTCTCCCCACCACACTTGCCTCACCAGATATCCATGCCGTGGCTGCAGTACTGGGTTGTGACCTTTGACGGCCCTGAACGTCTTCCCTGTGTTTCTGCCCCCCCCTCTTTACTTGCCTCATCAGATATCCGTGCAGTGGCTGCAGTACTGGGCTGTGCGAAGCAACTCAAAATACGTCTCGGTGCAGTCCACAAAGCCCGAGGTACACAGCGGTGTGGTATGGTACGGTGTATTATGGTATGGTCTGTGATGTGCCAGAAAGAAGGTCAGGTATTTTGTCTGAAGCTCATATACCACTAGTCATACTGACCGAATCACTAAAATTAAGTGAATCACCTGGCTGAAGCTTTAAGTGAATCATCATGCATGCAAGCAACTATGGTTTCCCCCTAGGCATTATTTGCACCATCCTTTCGCCCTCTTCCCTCTCAGGGCACAGCGAGCAACTTTGAGCTCTTCATCGTCGGCACGCCACTCAACTCCTCTCCCTCAATTCCCCCCATTCCTTCCCCCTTCACCCCTTTCCCCCTTCACCCCTTCCCCCTTTTCCCCCTTCCCCCTTCCCCCTCTTCCCTCTCAGGGCGCAGCGAGCAACTTTGAGCTGTTCATCTTCAACACGCCGCTTAACGCATCAACGGAGCAGAGCGGCAGCAGTGTGCGCATGGTGCTGCGTGCTCCCAACGGCTTCTTTCTCCGAGCCAACCCTGACGGCTCCCTCACTGCGGACCTCCAGCACTCCCTTACCAACGACGCCATCTGGACCAGCGCTGCTGCATTCGACCTCACTGTGGTGAGTGCATGCTTGGGAACTCCTCGCTCCTTCCTTCTTTCCTTCCCTTTTTCCCACGTGTAAAAAGATTATTGTTGAGACGTCTCTTTTTTCAAAAAATAATATTTTTACACGTGGCCTCTTCCTCCAAGCGCACCTCGACGGCTCTCTTACCACCGACCTCCAACAAACCCTTAGCAACAACGCCATCTGGACCAGCGCTGCTGCTTTTGACCTCACCGCACGCGCCTTGGTCCACACGCGCGCCTTGGTCCACGCGCGCGCCTTGGTCCACGCGCGCGCCTGTGGTGAGTGCTTCCTTCTTCCTCGCGCCTCCTTCCCCCTCCTTTCCTCCCGCTTCCCTTTTAGCTTAGTGGAGCCTACACACCGACCCTCGCTTTCTGGCAACCACCCTTCTCCAAGTCCAATTCGTTTCTCTCCCCCATTTCCCTCTTGACCTTTCTCTCTCCCCTCCCCTCCCGCTCCCAGTTGTGGCGGGTGGAGGGCGATTTTCAGGCGGATTTTACAGCCGGTGCAGCAGCACCAACCCTCTACGTGCTTCTCACCCCCCCTTCTCTCCACTCTCCCCCTCTCCCCCTCTCCCCACTCTCCCCCTCTCCCCCTCACCCCCCCTTCTCCCCACTCTCCCCCTCTCCCCCGCCCTCCACCTCCACCTCCACCTCCACCTCCCCGCTCCCAGCTGTGGCGGGTGGAGGGGGATTTTCAGGCAGCCCACACAGCCGGTGCCGCAGCACCAACCCTCTACGTGCTTCTCACCCCCCCTTCTCCCCACTCTCCCACTCCCCCCCCCCCCCCCCCCTCCACCTCCACCTCCCCGCTCCCAGCTGTGGCGGGTGGAGGGGGATTTTCAGGCAGCCCACACAGCCGGTGCCGCAGCACCAACCCTCTACGAGAACATTCGCCGAAACTTCATGACTGAAGCAGACTGGGCAAAAATGCAAGAACTGGGGATCAACACGGTCCGCATCCCTTTGCCCTACTGGATTGCTCTTGACGCCACCCCAGAGTTCCCCTTTGTGCCCGGCGCAGCAGCATATCTAGACTGGGCGTTTGAGATGGGGAGGAAGTATGGAGTGAGGATTTGGTTCAGCGTGCATGTGGCGCCGGGGTCACAGGCAGGCAAGGGGAATGCGCGGGATGGGCTGATCCGCTGGCGAGGGGCGAATATCAACCGCACGCTCGACTTTGTCACTTGGCTTTCTGACAGGTGAGGCTACCATTTGAGTCGACTCAAAAGTCACCTGAGAATGTCAACCGCACGCTCGACTTTGTCACTTGGCTCGCTGACAAGTGAGGCTACCTCTTGAGTCGCCTCAAAAGGGAAATGCGAGGGATGGGCTTGTTCGCTGGCGAGGGGAGGATGTCAACCGCACGCTTGACTTCGTCACCTGGCTTGCTGACAGGTGAGGCTACCATTTGAGTCGACTCAAAAGTCACCTGAGAATGTCAACCGCACGCTCGACTTTGTCACTTGGCTCGCTGACAAGTGAGGCTACCTCTTGAGTCGCCTCAAAAGGGAAATGCGAGGGATGGGCTTGTTCGCTGGCGAGGGGAGGATGTCAACCGCACGCTTGACTTCGTCACCTGGCTTGCTGACAGGTGAGGCTACCATTTGAGTCGACTCAAAAGTCACCTGAGAATGTCAACCGCACGCTCGACTTTGTCACTTGGCTCGCTGACAAGTGAGGCTACCTCTTGAGTCGCCTCAAAAGGGAAATGCGAGGGATGGGCTTGTTCGCTGGCGAGGGGAGGATGTCAACCGCACGCTTGACTTCGTCACCTGGCTTGCTGACAGGTGAGGCTACCATTTGAGTCGACTCAAAAGTCACCTGAGAATGTCAACCGCACGCTCGACTTTGTCACTTGGCTCGCTGACAAGTGAGGCTACCTCTTGAGTCGCCTCAAAAGGGAAATGCGAGGGATGGGCTTGTTCGCTGGCGAGGGGAGGATGTCAACCGCACGCTTGACTTCGTCACCTGGCTTGCTGACAGGTGAGGCTACCATTTGAGTCGACTCAAAAGTCACCTGAGAATGTCAACCGCACGCTCGACTTTGTCACTTGGCTCACTGACAAGTGAGGCTACCTCTTGAGTCGCCTCAAAAGGGAAATGCGAGGGATGGGCTTGTTCGCTGGCGAGGGGAGGATGTCAACCGCACGCTTGACTTCGTCACCTGGCTTGCTGACAGGTGAGGCTACCATTTGAGTCGACTCAAAAGTCACCTGAGAATGTCAACCGCACCCTCGACTTTGTCCCTTGGCTTGCTGACAGGTGGGGGTAACTACTTGCTTGCTTTTGTTGTGTGGGTTATTTCCATGAAATCTGATAGGCTATTAGGGTCTCTCGATCGTTTCTTCGATTCTCACTCGCTCCAACTGCTTCTTGCTCCTGGCTTCCGAACCTCAGGTACGGCGCCGACCCTGTGTGGCTGGGCATGGGGCTGCTGAACGAGCCAGTTGTCCCCGGAGCCAATGGGTACGCGGGGGTGGATCTGGAGGACATGCGGGGGTACTACTTGGCGGCCTTCAACACCATCCGCGCGCGCTGCCTGTGCTGCTCCCTTTTCCCCACCCCCCTCCCCCAGATGTCTACAATCCCGCACCTGAAAGCCGTGAGGTTTGGAGAGCCTTCCTCGCCTGATTCTTCACCAATTCTCGCCTCTTGATTCCCTCTTTCTGCCTCCCCGAACCGCCCAAACCTCGCAGGTACGGCACCGACCCTATGTGGCTGGGCATGGGGCTGCTGAACGAGCCGGTGGTGCCGGGGGCCAACGGGTACGCGGGGGTGGATCTGGAGGACATGCGGGGGTACTACTCGGCGGCCTTCAACGCCATCCGCGCGCGCTGCCTGTGCTGCTTCGTGGCCATGGAGGGCCGCGTGGGCAGCAACTTTGGCGACGTGATGTGGCACATGAGCGACGCGTGGCACAACAACGTGATCCTGGAGCAGCACATCTACGAGGTCTTTGGCAACTTCTTCAGCTCCAAAGGTGTTGACTGGGAAATCGAGTACGCGCACACCACAAGGAAGGAGAACATCATCGCGTTTCAGCAGGTGGGTTGCCCTGTATGGACCAAGGGTTTTCCCTTGCTTCCAGGAAACAAAACGAAACAAGAAAAGGGAACTTCCTAAGGGTGGGTCTGGAGAACGACACACGACACATACTGGCACGCCTCTGAAGTGGCGCGTGGCACAACAACGTGATCCTGGAGCAGCATATCTACGAGGTCTTTGGCAACTTCTTCAGCTCCCAAGGCGTCGACTGGGAGATTGAATACGCGCACACGACCCGAAAGGACAACATCATCGCGTTTCAACAGGTGGGTTGCCCAGTATGGACCGCGGTTTTCCCTTGCTTCCACCAAGCAAAACAAAACAATGAAAAGGGAACTTCCTAAAGGTGGGTCGGGGAGTACTGGCATGGCTCTGAAGCGGCGCGTGGCACAACAACGTGCTCCTGGAGCAGCACATCTATGAGGTCTTCGGCAACTTCTTCAGCTCCAAAGGCGTCGAGTGGGAGATCGAGTACGCGCACACGACCCGAAAGGACAACATTATCGCCTTTCAACGGGTGGGTTGCATATGATCCCTGTTTTTCCCTTCCCCATTTTGATCCCTGTTTTTCCCTTCCCCATTTTGATCCCTGTTTTTCCCTTCCCCATTTTGATCCCTGTTTTTCCCTTCCCCATTTTGATCCCTGTTTTTCCCTTCCCCATTTTGAGCCATCTTAGTAATGCCCGGGTTCCCTTGCAGTTTCTCCACGTTCTCAACACCTCACCTGATTTCCACACACCACATGGCACATGCCACATTGCGTTGCGTTGTCTAAACATTGTGCTATGTCCCATCACGCCGGGTGCAGAAGGTGGGGCGGAACTTGCTGGTCGGGGAGTTCTGCAATGCGATGGGCAACAGTGCGACGTCAGAGCAGCAGGCCAACTTCTCTCTCGGACAGATGAAGGCATTCAGCCACGCCAAGGCCGGCTGGTTCTTCTGGTCCTGGAAACTCAACACCACTGGTACGTGCTCTTGTCAGTGCTCTTGTCAGTGCTCTTGTCTTGTCAGTGCGCTTGTTGTGCTCCTTTCCTTCTGGCTTTTCCTTCTCACAATCGCACCGGCTGTGAGTGATCTCCTCGCTCTTCTTGAATCTTCCCTCTTTTCATGTCCAGCAGCAGTACCGGTACTGGTACCCCATCCCTGGTTTCTCACCTTGAACTGTGTGTCCCTTGTCATACCTTCAGTATTTTCCCTACTGTTTTTATGCTGCTGTCTTCTTTGAGTCAACTCAATAGTCAGCTCTTAGCATGCCCAGCAGTACCGGCACCCCATCCCATCCCTGGTTTCTCACCTTGCATAATGTGTCCCTTGTCAGAGCTTTTTCCCTCCTGTTGTTTTCCTGATGCGCCCACCTGATGCAGGCACTCATCACTGGCAGTTTGTCAACAGCTATGACAGAGGCTGGTTGCCCAAGAAACCAGATGGTAACTGGTATTGATGCACTTGTGAAAATTCTTTAGTCATGTTGTATTGTATCTAGTCATTTATTTATTCGATGAACCCCACTGCTGCCTGCACTCGCATCAGTGGTATAATCCAGTTTTCACCCCGTAACAACCATCTGGCTGGACGGAATGCTCTTATTTCTTCCCACACCTAGTCAAACGTGGTGAGTTTTTGTAGGTACAATCACGTGTTTTACCTGGAAAATCCATACCATAGTAGACGAGACCGAATAGTCTGCTCATTCACTGAAACTGCAAACGTCAGTGCTCTTTTGTGTACCGCTCTTTTACAAACATGTCATCCTGTCCTGAATTCCACTTACGGTACTTCTTCCTCTGTGATCTGATGTGGGGTTGAAGTACCAACACCAACACTTACGGTAATTCGATCAATTATAATAAAGAATGCCATGCATATGCTTTGCAGGCTTCATAGAATGTCATGTGGGACGGGATGGATGGGACTCAAATACACGATAAGCCATCTGTTGTGTCCCCCCCACCTTCAGAACAGAAGTCTCAGCTTCACTTTCATTGCTCAGAACTGGAGAGCAGGCAACCAACCAAGGTGGAATCCTGGCACTTGCTCCAGGATGAGCCCTCTTAACCCGCAATTGGGGCAGCCAACCAGGAGGAAACTCTAATACATGTACAGTGGCGACTATTGCACTTCAACAATGTGACAAAACTACACCCGTCCTCCACACTTATCGTTCTCCCCGTTGCTCTGGGGTGAGCCCTCCTGACCCGCAGGTGGGGCAGCCAACCAGGCCGAACCCCTGGCACTTGTAGCACCTGCAGCAACCAATGTGCATGGACAGAGAGATGGTGGTGAGAAGCGGTGACACATCAGCGTTGAGGAGTGGATATGTCTGATTATATACAGTATCAGGTTACCATATTATAGACATGTGGCAACGGGGGAAGGAAAGAGGAGGTAGAGGGAAGGGGGGGGGTGTACGGGGCAAGAGGGTGTGGGGGAAGAGGGTTTGAAAGGAGGGAGGAGGGAAGGTTTTGGGGGCAAGAGGAAGGGGACAGACAGGGAAGATGGGGGAAAGGATAGGAGATCACAGCGCATATGCAATTCTGGCTCACTTCCATCTCTCCAAAATATTGCCATTGGTCTTGCTCTTCCCCGTCCCCTGTGAATCATAACAAGTTTTGAGACGTCTCTAAACGCGTATGCTATGCTGACTTACTTCCATCTCTCCAGCATGTTTCCCTTGGTCTTGCTCTTCCCCGTCCCCTGCAAATCATGCGACCACCAAACGGGAGAATAGCTTCACAACTTACAGGACAACCATACCGGAGCGAAGAAATGTGAAGAATTTAGACAGGACATTGCATTGAAAAGAGGCACGAACAGAAGATAGGAATCCGACAAATCAAACCACGACACGTTAACGTCTCAGAATACAAAAGGTAGGCGCATTTAGATGCGTCATCTCACTGCACCTATCATGTTCTCCAAGGTTAACGTCTCAGAAGTGGATTACCTTGCAAATGGGGAAATATAAGCCTCCCGTCTCTATGACTTGCGGGATTAGCGGATGTATTAACAGTGCATTACCTTGCAGACGGGGCAATCCACACCGCCCGTGCCCCTGCAGGTGCTACACGAGGCTCTGGACACCTTTCCCTTAGCCGGAGGTGACTTTTTCGGGGGAGACTTGGACGGCGGGTCGGCCTGCAAGCGACAGGCAGGGACGGGAGGAGGCAAAGATGGTGGATTTCGAACAGTCAAATTCGGCAGAATGCACTTACAGAATCGTCGAATTCAGGTTGATTTGCTTAACAAAATGCATTGATTGATTTCTCGGGAAGAATGCACATGATTAAATGTTCAGAATCAGGAGAGCGTAAACGAAAATCGATGGAAAGAAAAATTAGGGACCCTGGCATATGCAGAGCGTCGAGCACATGGAATCAAAGTGCATGGGATTTGCCAGATTCTTAAGGAACGCCCAGATTTAGGTCGTGCAGCAGAATGAACGGTCATTACGAACCTTGGGCTTGCCCCAGCCGAAGAGCGCCTTCACCGCGACTGAGCGCCGGTTCGCGGGTTCGTCTCGTGAGCACGGATAATTTAACATGAGCAGCTGTGGAGCTAATAGGTTGGTTCCGGATGAAAGCTGCCCATTGGCTGCTTGTGACTGGCTCAACGAGCCAGCGAAAGAGACAGTGGCTACTGTAGATAGAGCCATAGGTGCGACGCCGGAAAGGCAATCCCTGAGTTGGCACGCTGACGCGGCAAACCCGCAGCGGTTTTCGACAACCACAATTTAATATTGCTATGATACTGGACGAACCGGCCCCACTACCAGCAGCTACTGTTTTCTTTCTTCCTATGGTAAGGTAAGGTACTTGGCAGAATTTAGGTCAAACTGCCTGCCTCACGACCAGACTGGCTATTTCTCAATCAACCTTCCTAAGGCGAGTCGCGACCAGCTTTCCTTCACTTCCCACAGCATGTGATTCTCATCCACTACGTGGTTAGTTGGCCGTTGATTGGATGTCAGGTAGCGCCACGTGGACTCTGTAAGCGCGTTACAGTGAGCTCCAATTCAACGTCTGTCATGTCAATGGACAAAAGAATGAAACACTATCGATTTTCAATGAACTTATCCAAGGTGGGTTCGCTATTATCGATGAGTGCCGCGAGTCCATCTCAACCTCCTTTCCACGTGTGCTCGACAGCGTGTCTGTTTCAGTCAGGAAGAGCCAAATACACGTTTGAGTGACTTGGCTCGGGCTACAACGAAGGGCCGCAGTCTGCTCCTTTCTGAGCCTGGATAATTTCGAGCCTCCTCACGTGATTGGGAAGTCGCTCTACTCCCCCCCGGTGTCCTTTCAGCAGTTTGAAAAGTTCAAGAACATCAAGTGCCATCCCTGCCCAGAAGTCTCATCTTCTGCCCAGAAATAGTTGTATAGTGTCAAAAACCAGCACGCAAACCAGCTACATACATTTGTGTTCTTATTGGAAACAATCACGCTAACAATCAAAGCGAGCAATCACGCTAACAAACAGTGTTCTTAGGCATTACGGAATGGGCATACATGTGACAAAAGGGAAATCCCTCTCCTACTTCATCTCCTCTTGCCCTCCCTACATTTCAGTCTCATCAGTAGTATCATCAATTTTTCCCCATGGCTGCCTCTCGATGTTGTCGTATCGCGCTCACCAGTTCCACAGCTCCCGCGTGCGACGTTTCCAGAGCAGCCTTTGCTGCTGCTTATCCCAATCTTGCTCTCGTCGGCGTCGGCTGAAAGGCACCTTGCTCGCTCCGTAGCCTAACGCGACAGAAACAACTCAGACTCTGCCTTCCGAAGTCCTAATTTGTCTGACAGAGAGCGTCGGAGAACCCGAGCATTCAGCGTTTCACGTAGAAACTTCTGGAGGCAGCTTCGTACTACCGTCTTTTTCGGAGGGACTGATTGCGCCTGCATCACCCCTGCCGTCACTACTTCCCGAATCACTACTGGTTGACTCGACCTAATCCACAGCCACCGCCACTGACGCACTGTTTCGCGAATCGCGATCGCTTTCGTGTCCCGGTCACCCCTGATCAAACGCCGGCCTTTCGCGTTCCTACAAGCCACCGGTTGACGACACTGCCCGATGCCAGGCTAATTCGGCTTCAATCCTGTATACCGGAACAGTGCTCTGAGGAATTATTCTAGGAGTTGTCCTCCTTCCCCTAGCCTGGAGTTTAGACCGATCCATCGACTCCTGTCGGGGCCTCACGAGTCTAGACTTTTCCTCCTCTTCACTTTCAACTTCGTCGTTCAGTTTCCGAGCAGTTGTTGTAGGAGCAGTCCTCCTGCCTCCAGCGACTCCTATCATGACATTACGAGTCTAGACCGATCCTCCTCGTCTCCCTTCATGAAGGACCTCGCTCCATGGTTCTTCTGTTAGCTTCACGCTCTCCGCCGCTCATTCCTCTCCAGAGGTTTCCCCGTCTCCGCCGAGCTTCGGTTCGACTGCATCAGTAACTCTTTTGATACTGGCCTAGCAGGACTAGGACTAAAGTCTTACGACGGATTAAGGATAAGGACCTCTGAGATGGAATCTTCGAGTCTGACCGGCCGTCAGCAGCCGGACACGTCTGCTGCTGACGTTATCGGAGTAGGTTCTTCCACGACGGGTCGATGTGATGGTACTGAGGCTGTTCTCGATATAAGGCTCCCCGTCAACGGTGTTGAGTCGTCCCCGTGCGGGTTACGCGATGGCTCTGGTGAATTGGCGGAGCTTTGCGACCAGGTATATGGAAACGGGTTACCAATTTCGCCAGACCAGCAAGGCTGCGAGCTTCCCCCGAAAAGTTCCCCGCGGAATGATGCGAATGAACGCGGAGGCTTCGGCGGAAAGGGCAGCGGGGCCGGGGCGCGCCTGCGCCTGCCTCGGAGCTGGCAGGCGGGCGCGTTTGTGCTTCCGCCAAGGTGGCTCTGGGGGTACTTTCGGAAGTTCCGCGGAATCGGGGAGGGTCTTTTTCCGGCGTACCCGAGCTTTATCGTCGTCTTCTGGTCCTTCATCGCCTCGTTTATTGGTGCGCGCCTCGTTCCCTTTTTTCTTTCACTGGCTCTCACAAGGTTAGTTAGTCATTTCAAGCAAGGCTTCAGTTACTGGTGTTGAGCCCCTTTGCCTTCAAACCAGCGTTGGTGCATGCATTGATTCATAATGTCTGGCTGCTGTTGCCTATGGAAGATCATCCTCTCTCACTTCCATACTCCCTTCCCACAAATTTCTACCCACCTTCTCCTTTACATACTCCCATCAACCCCCTCCCGCCTACCCCCCTTTTCTTCCGTCGTTTATGATCGGCTCGTTTGGCGCCACAGCGGTATGCTCATCTTCGGAACCATCGACTCGCCCTTTCATCTTCCGCCCCCCTTCCCCCCCCACACTTCCTCCCTCAATGTTTGCAGGCATAGCTCTGTGCGCGTTTCTCGCGTTCAACACGAGCATGCAGCGGACCCTGAGCCCCTACCCGACCAGCACTAGCAGCAGCACAACTGAAACCGGCCAGCAGCAGCAAGCGTCGTTTATGATTGGCTCGTTTGGCGCCACAGCGGTGCTCATCTTCGGAACCATTGACTCGCCTCTCTCGCAGCCCCGGAATGTGGTCCTCGGGAGTGCCGTTTCAGCGGTGATCGGCGCGCTTATAGCGGAGATCTTCGCTATAGGCGGGCTCGCGTTTCCGAATACGTCGTGGCTGTGGCTACAGTGCGGTCTTGCGGTTTCCTTATCCATAGTGGGTACGTCCGTGGTTTCATTTTTCACTATTTGTGCAGCCAGCTGTGTAACTTCACGCGTTCTTTTGGGCGCGTTAGAAGGATTGTTTTCACTCTCTCTGCAGCTGTATAACTCCACGTTTTATTCCTGATCTCGCCCATCCCATCCCCCCCATAACACTCCCCCCTTCCCCTTCCCCTCCCCACCCTTCCACCTCCCAGCCATGCAGCTGCTGCGTATCGTCCATCCCCCTGGGGGTGCTTCAGCACTCATTGCTGTCATGTCGCCTCCCTCTCTGCGCTGCCACGGCTTCTTTGTGCTCACTCCCGTGCTGCTGGGAGTGTGTATCATGCTCACTGTCGCTCTCTTTGTCAACAATATCGCCCGACAGTAAGCCAACACACGGCTTCTTTACTTTCTCCCTCTTCATCTCATTTCTCATCCTCATGCGTTGGTTTTCCCGTATCTCCACCACGCTATTGTTTTTTATTTCCAGCCTTGCTGCCGAGTCCTTGCTTCTCTCTCCTGGTCCTTTTCTTCGACCCTGTAACCTCCCCTCCCGCCTTCCACTCCACCTTTACTCACCCTCACCCCCACCCCCAACCTCACCGCCAGGTACCTTCTGTACTGGTGGCGGCCAATCATCCTCGACATTCCCGTGCCAGAGGGCTCCACACATCACTCCCTGTGCTCACTCACCCACCTGTGCCTCTTCCCTGCTCTTTCCCCATTCCTATCCTACCCTTTCTCACCAGGTACCCCCTGTACTGGTGGCGGCCAGTCATCCTCGACATTCCCGTGCCAGAGGGCTCCACACACCACTCTCTGTGCTCTCTCACCCACCTGTGCCTCTTCCAGTTCACTTACCTTCCAACCATTCCTCACTCCTTCCCACTCCTTCCACCCCCCCCTCACCAGGTACCCCCTGTACTGGTGGCGGCCAGTCATCCTGGACATTCCCGTGCCAGAGGGCTCCACGCACCACTCTGCCGTGACAGCAGGCGAGGCATACCACACAATACAGCACCTGCACGCCGTGCACTCCCCCGTGCACCACGCCTCTTCCCAGCTGCCCTCCCAACAGCCCTCTCAACCGCCCTCTCAGCTGCTGCCGCTGTGCCTGCCTTCAAGCGATGCACAGCGCGTCCACGCCGTACACTCCCCTGTGCAACCCTCCGTGCAACCCCTCGTGCAACCCGCCGTGCAACCCCCCGTGCACCACGGTATGGGCCATGCCGCGGGCCATCGCAATAGCAACAGCAGCAGCAGCAGCAGCAGCAGCAGCGCTCGAGAGCATGGCATTCATGTGACTGCAGGCGAGGCGTACCACACGATTCCGCACATCCACGCCGTGCATTCCCCCGTGCACCATGCCATGCCGCATCAGCCCCTCGGCCTCCACTCAACCAGTGACGCTGCGACAGCTGGCGGGGTGCTTCACAGAGTAGGGAACACCCATCCGCTGCCAGCGCTTTCACAGCATGTCCATCCGCAGCAATCATCGGCGCATGCGGTGCAGAGCGGTACAGATGCTGAGGAGGACGGGTCAGCGAGTCGTGTTCATGGCGGCACGGCGTACATTCAAGGAGGGCGTGCGAGAGCGGTAACATGTAACGATGCTGGTTACGCGTGCACGCAGCAGGGCACGCAGACAGCAACCGCGGCAGAAGCATTGGCAGCAGAGCTCACCTTTCGTGGCGGGCCGTTCCGCCACGTCAGCAACTCAGCAGTGCGCCACGTCAGCGTTCCCCCGCTGAGTCACCAGCAGCATCGCGACAAGGACAAACAGCAAGTCGAGCAGCAACCGCAACCTTTTTCGGGCAGTACAGAAAAGTTTACCTGCTGTGTTGTCGATGCCACGTCATCACACTCCTCTCTATCTGATGACCAAGCTGTTGATGACAGAAGAGAGCACAGCAACACTACACGGGACAATAAATCAGCGGGCATTGAACAACTGAGTCCATTTGCTGTCTGTCAAGCTGGAACCGTTGATCAAACTGCTACTGATGCATTTGCACGCGTTGATTCGCCAGCTGATACTGATCCAGCGGCTGGGGTTGATGCACCTCCTTTCCTTGGGGACTCCATTAAGGAAGAACCACATCCAGCTAAGGCTGTGGGTGATTCTGGGAGTTCTGTAACTGACTCGCCAGCACACACCAATGTGGACTCAGTCAAAGATTCAGCAAGCAGCAGGGAGCAGAGAGTATTTGGCGATGACTCTTTGAACATAGATGGCCTTTCGGCCGCGGGAAGGGCATCTAGAGAAGGTTTAGAGGACTCAGCAACTCATGATGGCCGGACGCAGGCCCTCGGATATCAGCGTAAAACATGCTGATTACGCTGATTTTGTAGCTGTGATTTTCGTTTTCCCTGAAAATTCAGCATATGCTTCAATTTTGCACTGAAATTTCAGTATATCCTACCTTGTCACACTGACCATTTTGCATGTTTCTTTACAAGAAACATTGACGAATCAGTATAGTGACGTGAGTCACACTGAAACGGAGTTGACCGCGTGGGGGGGGGGGGGGGGGGGGGGGGGTTGATAGGGTATGCATGTACAGTCTGTACCTTCCCGTGATTCCTGAGACCCCACCCACACACTTGGCATTTTTTCGCGTGCACTGCACAGATACCGTATCAGGTGCGCGCCGAAGTGTTTAGCCTCGCTGGAACCTACGGTATCACAGCAACAACACCACACACCTTGTACTGGGGTTTCAGCTATAGTTTTTTGTTATTACACTGTTGGTTCAGTTTACTTATGATTCTTACACTGGCAAAATCAGTATAAAAAAAACCGTGAACGCTGATTTGGACACCTCGTTGGCCGGGGCACACCGATCCATCAGCATACCCTCAAACCAATCTGAGGGCCTGGCCGGACGACACCAACGTGAAGATGGATCAGCATGAGTGATAGGTAATGAATACTGTAGCAGTGGGTAGTGGTTATGTCAAGAAGTTTTTTCTTTATTTCAACGAGTTGTCTATTCCGTAGCATGAAAGCATGTGGGTGTGGTTCATATAGTGGAAGGACATTCTCATGTCAATAGTTTGTTCCAAGATTGGAACTCATGGTAATGACCACAAAAATATGTGTTTTTGCCAAAGACTGGTGCTGGTCGCCAACAGGCTAAAAAACAGAAAATATACTACCTATCATGCAATCCATCAGGTCAGCTCAACTACCATTCGTTACCTCTACACTCCCAGTCACTGTATCCGCATCGGTTTCATGCCTTACGAGCAAGCCCCCATGTCCCTTCGCATTCCCATAGCTACAGCGATTAGTTAGTATCGCAAAGCTTGATTAGCTAGCATCCCAAGTAGCGAGTCGCGGCGCGGTGCTCGCTCTAGTTGACGAAAAAACACATTTATTTGAAGTTCTAGGAAAAAAAACGTTCCGAAGAAATAGCGCGGGATTGGCTTACTTTTTTTTTTTTATGGTTATCCTATATAGGATACATAATCACCCTAGCTTCACATCCCTTGAACGCGCAGTGAACAGATGGCGAAGGTGGCGGCTCCATGGTGGATGGGTGATCCTAGTCGGCCTATAACGGATCAACCGGAAGGCACTTTCGTTTGGGCTAAGGTGCGATTTGGTCATGGTTTTTCAACCCTAAATGGACTCACTTGTCCTCACACGTGTATATTTAGGTCAACAGGCGTTAACTGCGTGCATGTTCATGTCATTCCTTAACTAAGTGGGTCATGTCAGACTCTCTAAGTGCTTCACAGCAAAATTAAATTGCTCTTTACGTGGCTATGGGGTTCCAGTAACCTAATAACTGCGATTTTACCGCTCCAGACCTCTAACTCTTCAGAGTCTCGTTTTACTTCGTGTTCCTTCTCATCCACGCATTTCTACTGACTCTCTGCTTGGTCTCTGTCCTTTGCAGGGATTCTCCCTCCTTGTTCGACTCCCGTTTCTCTTACCTTTCCTCCCCTCTCTCCCTGTTTCTCTTCCCGTTTCCTGTTCTCCACCTCACCACTCCTCTCCCTCCCTCCTCCTCTCTCGTTTTTCTTCCAGAAACGCGCTCAGTGGCATGCAGGCATCATAGCGTCGCCCCTCAATTGCTCCACTCCCGCTCCTGATGCTCCCAACACTCCTTCCCATGCACTCACCACCACCACTCGAGCACGCTCCTCCCATGTCTGCGTCTTTCTGCCCCGGGATGCCACCTTTGTTTGGTGCTCTCCAGACTCTGTGCTCCACGTGTGGATCAAGCCCGACCCGCTTGGCCCGTATGGTAGGCCCGTACTCAGGAAGCTGGTGTCTATGTGTGAGGGAAGTGGTGGGGAGGAGCGGGAAGCTGTTGGTAGTGGTGGTGGTTCTGCCTTTGGTGGTGGTGGTGGTGGTGGTGCTGCTGCTGCTGCTGCTGCTGCTGCTCGTTTTGGTGGTGCTGTTGGGTTGAAGAATGCTGGCGTGTCAGCAGGAGATGCTGCCACGTCAGCTGGGCGAGGGAGGGAGGCCAATCCGCTTCCTGCTTGGGCGAAGCCGGCTAAGCAAGCAACGGAGGGCAGGGGTAGTGGAGGCGGGGAGGGAAGCGGGCAACGAGGAGATGACAGTGAGAACGCGGGTGGAGATGGGGAAGATGATGGAGGGAGTGAGGGAGGGAGAGGAAGGAGTGACGGTGTGAGAAAAGGGACGGCGAATCGAGAAGTGGGAGGGAATCAGAGAAGGAGTCGAGGTGGTGGTGGTGGTGGTGGTGGTGGTGGGAGTGAGTCAGGCAAGGAGTGGATTCTGAGGCGCATGAGGAGGGTTGGGGTGCTGACAGTGGCGACAGAAATACTCGACTTGAGTGACCAGGTCCCATTAGAGGTATGCTCGATCGAAAGAAAGAAGAAAGAAAGAAAGAAAGAAAGAAAGAAAGAAATAAAGAAATAAAGAAGGAAAAAAAGAGTCTCATGAATTTTTGTGTGTGGCTCGCTTTCGCTCTCATATTCCACCCTGATTCCAAACTTGAACAGCGCTGAACAAATAAAGAGTACGGCTCTTCCTTCTCTCCCTTCCTTCTCTCCCTTCCTTCTCTCCCTTCCTTCTCTCTCTTCCTTCTCTCCCTTCCTTCTCTCCCTTCCTTCTCTCCCTTCCTTCTCTCCCTTCCTTCTCTCCCTTCCTTCTCTCTCTTCCTTCTCTCCCTTCCTTCTCTCTCTTCCTTCTCTCCCTTCCTTCTCTCTCTTCCTTCTCTCCCTTCCTTCTCTCTCTTCCTTCTCTCCCTTCCTTCTCTCTCTTCCTTCTCTCCCTTCCTTCTCTCTCTTCCTTCTCTCTCTTCCTTCTCTCCCTCTCTCTCCTTCCTTCTCTCTCCTTCCTTCTCTCCCTTCCTTCTCTCCCTTCCTTCTCTCCCTTCCTTCTCTCCCTTCCTTCTCTCTCTTCCTTCTCTCCCTTCCTTCTCTCTCTTCCTTCTCTCCCTTCCTTCTCTCTCTTCCTTCTCTCCCTTCCTTTTCTCTCTTCCTTCTCTCCCTTCCTTCTCTCCCTTCCTTCTCTCTCTTCCTTCTCTCCCTTCCTTCTCTCTCTTCTTTCTCTCCCTTCCTTCTCTCCCTTCCTTCTCTCCCTTCCTTCTCTCCCTTCCTTCTCTCCCTTCCTTCTCTCCCTTCCTTCTCTCCCTTCCTTCTCTCTCTTCCTTCTCTCCCTTCCTTCTCTATCTTCCTTCTCTCCCTTCCTTCTCTCTCTTCCTTCTCTCCCTTCCTTCTCTCCCTTCCTTCTCTCCCTTCCTTCTCTCCCTTCCTTCTCTCCCTTCCTTCTCTCTCTTCCTTCTCTCCCTTCCTTCTCTATCTTCCTTCTCTCCCTTCCTTCTCTATCTTCCTTCTCTCCCTTCCTTCTCTCTCTTCCTTCTCTCCCTTCCTTCTCTCTCTTCCTTCTCTCCCGTCCTTCTCCCTCTTCCTTCTCTCCCTTTCTTCTCTCTCTTCCTTCTCTCCCTTCCTTCTCTCCCTTCCTTCTCTCCCTGTCCTTTGAGTCGACTCAGAAGTCGCCGCTGAACGAATAAAGAGTACGACTCTTCCTTCTCTCCCTGTCCCTCCGCCCACTGCTCCTGCTCCTCCTCCCGTTTTCTTCCTTCTCTTTCTCCTTTTGCTCGCTTGTACTATTCCTGCTCCTTTTCCGAACCTTCCTTTTCCCCCTTCCATCTCTCTTGCTCCTCCCCTGTTGCTCCTCCTGGCCATCCCATCCCCAACGTCCCTCCTCCTTCTGTTAGGCTGTGGTGCTGACGGCTCGCTCCGTCTCGTTCTGGTCTGGCTTTGCTGAAAGGGGTGCTGGAGCCGAGTCGTATGAGCAGCAGGGAGAGCTGTTGAGCGACCTCTGCCAGGCAGGTGATTTGCTTTATAGATGTCGATGAGAGTGGTTGAGAGCGGTAAGAAGCGATGAGAAGGACATTGCTGGAGCCGAGTCGTATGAGCAGCAGGGAGAGCTGCTGAGCGACCTCTGCCAGGCAGGTGACTTGCTTTTCAAGGTCGAGAGTGGTTGAGAGAGGTAACTCGTGGTGACTACGATGGTCCTGGAGCCGAGTCGTATGAGCAGCAGGGAGGGCTTCTGCTGAGGTATCTCTGCCAGGCAAGTGACTTTCTATACATGCTGTTGAGAGTGGTTGAGAGCGGTAAGGAGTGGTGACTAGGATGGCCAGGGAGGGCTGCTGGTATCTCTGCCAGGCAAGTGGTTTGCCTTTCAAGGGGGGTTGGCAAGTGTGAAGGGTGGCTGAGATTCGTTGGGAGTTGTTTGTTGAGACCTCTTATCCAACCCCTCAACTTCAGTTCAGCCTATCAGACAGCACAACACATCTGTGCACAACGGCATCATCAGTCAGATGTTCAGCATCAAGCTTTGAGGCGCCTCAAAACTAGATTCGTGGGTAGTTGTTGAGACCTCTCATCCAACCCCTCAAGTTCAGTTCAGTTCAGCCTGTCAGTCAGCACAACACATCTTTGCACACCGGCATCATCAGTCAGATGTTCTTATCATTCAAAGCATTTCTTACCCGTATCCTCAATATTGTTTGACCCATTCTTTCCAAACTTTTTTACTTATCTTCCTGCCCGCCCCTCTGTCCCCTCCTTCCTTCCGTTTCTGCCTCCCTCCCTCCGTCTTTCCATTCTTGCAGATCATCCTGCCACAGCTGCTGCATCCTGATTGGCTCTCATCCCGCCACGCCAGCTGGACCAATGAATGCCTAGCTACCAACTCAGCACCAGCAGTGCATTCACGCATCCAGGTAACAACACCAGAGTACACTCAGTCCCTCAGGCACACTACGGTCCCTCAGTCCCTCAGGTAAACAACACCAGAGTACACTCAGGTGAAAGAAGAGTGTTTTTGAGACGTCTCAAAAACGCCAGAGTACACTCAGTCCCTTAGGTAGGTACCCTAAGGTCCCTCAGTCCCTCGGGTCCCTCAGGTAAACAACACCAGAGTACACTCAGTCCCTCTGGTAGGATTGAGCACAGGCCAGGCCGGGCCCTCAGGTACACTAAATTCTCCTCATATTCATTCTCTGAAAGCACCTTCTCTTTCCTTCCCCTTTCATATTCCTTACCTCTTAACTCCCATCTACTGCCCTTTTCCCCCTCCCTCTCCTCCAGGAGCTCTCTTCAGCCATCCTCTGGTCGCACGTCTCAGACCTCTGGAAAGTCTCGTGTGTAAGTAGACGACTTTTGAGACGTCTCAAAAGACCTCTGGAAAGTCGTCCTGCCGCCGCAACCAGCAGCAGCGTGGGCGGCCTTCAAGCGCCCTCTGTTTCCTCCCTTGCTATTCATTCACTCTGTCTGTCTGTACCCCCGTCTCCCCCCACCAGGAGCTCTCTTCAGCCATCCTTTGGGCAAACGTGGAAGACCTCTGAAAGGTGTCTCAGCCGCCGCAACCAGCAGCAGCGTGGGCGGCCTTCAAGCGCCCTCTGTTTCCTCCCTTGCTATTCATTCACTCTGTCTGTCTGTACCCCCGTCTCCCCCCACCAGGAGCTCTCTTCAGCCATCCTTTGGGCAAACGTGGAAGACCTCTGGAAGGTGTCTCAGCCGCCGCAACCAGCAGCAGCGTGGGCGGCCTTCAAGCGCCCTCTGCTGGCCGCCGTGGCAGCGTGTGGGGTGACGGGCACGCCTGGCAGGGAGAGGCTCTGGTCCAAAAACGGAGGGATCTTTGGGT